TTATTTATTATTATGTGTTAAATTGTTAATTTTTTTATAGAATAAGGGTGACAAACGAGCACACAATCCACCTGATGGTAAGTAGTTGCTGTGGCTCATACACATCTACATCTATCTTCGATTACGAATCAAAATGCAGTTGAGTTGTCACCCGTGAGTACTAAGATTGAATGCCTCGTTTCCAGTAAAAAAGGGTCTCCGGTTCTCTACACTCACCATACGAAACACGGCAGCGTTATGATGCTATTTTACGCTGTTATTCTGTAAGAGCGTGATTCTTTCCCAGTCGAGCCGACCCATTCGTGCTACAACTATACTACTAATATAGCTGCAGCATAGCTCTACATGATGAACCTCTAAACTGATTTCTATAATGAATATTGGGTTAGGGTTCTACCGTGGTATTATATGAAAAAATCTTCTGTCTAACATAAATTTTATTAGAGAAAAGCCGAGGAGTTTAATAGTTTGGCCACGTAGTGGCGGTGTAACAATTATCCACTACCCCATTTCGTCCCATATGTGTCGTAAGAGGCGCTAGAGGGAAAAACGGTTGTCTTATTGTCATAGTTCGCGATTTAATTTTTAGTAACACAAATTTCATTGGTGTTAATTAAAGATTGAAAAAATCAAAATAGATTTTAAGTGCTAATCTAATAATAGATAATAATCTAATTTTTAGAATATAATTATTAGATTGATTAAACACTCAGTTGAGCCCTTTAAAATTTAATTAAAAAGTCGCAATTAATTCCTTAAACAATTATGTAATTGTTACCACTGTCGTGTACGTAACCTTGTACAGATTAACGATATTCTAGACTATTTTACGAAGTGCAGATGAGAAGCGAATAACAGTCTACCTGATGGTAAGGGGCGACTGCAACCTATGGACATCCGTAACCCACTTTAAACAAAAGACATCTACAGATGCCTTATCACCACTGTGGACTGAGATGGAATATCTACCAGCCTGTAATTTTATTGGCTCTCAATACTCGACCAGAACACAGAAGTGCACTCACTGCTGCATGGCAGTATAAATAGGTTGGGACCTACCTATACGAAATTCAAGGCAAAAAGAGGGTTCTACCGTCTAAAACATTTTGTGCCATTTAGATTTATATGCACAAGTTTCTTCGAATATGCATAAGATTATGTAATTTGTTGCCTCATGACTGACATTTAAATCTAGCCAAATCTAATCCAGTTTACAATGTTTACTAGTATTAATGGTCGTATAATAAAACTAATTTTGTAATAAAATAGAACCTGTGAATATGTGAATAAATTATATGCCTGCATGTTTGGCTTTTTCTTGTATTATTTACTACTTACTGACATTTGTCGATATTAATACTTCATCATCATCATTACAGCCCTTCAAAGTCCACTGCTGAACATAGGGCTCCCCCAATCAATGCCATAAAGCACGGTCCTGAACCACCTGCATCCATCGACTTCCTGCATATCTCACCAGGTCGTCACTCCATCTAGTAGGGGGTCGCCCTACACTTCGCCTACCGGTACGAGGTTGCCACTTGAGAACCTTTTTTGCCCATCGAGCTATATGGCTGGCCAATTGCCACACATATGGCATTCACCTGCTTACTAATCCGTTGGGCTATGTCGGTCACTCTGTTTCTACTGCGGATATCCTCATTTCTAAGTTTATCACGCAGAGAAACCCCGAGCATCTCGTTGAGCGACCTTGATACGACCAGCAGTGAAGAATCGTCTCAGTTCCATAAGTCATAACTGGCAACACGCACTCGTTTTCAAGTTTTGAAGTATACCTGACGAGAAGTTGTGCCGTAATTTCACGAACGCTGCCCAGCCCAGTTGAATCCGTCGATTGACCTCTCGGCCGAAGTTGGACTTACCTAGTCGGACTATTTGTCCCAGGTAAACATACTCGTCAACAACTTCGAGCTTAGTGCTCCCAACAACTACTGGCACAGGTGTGACATGGACGTTATTACATAATCTTGTACATGTTCATATTACTCGTAAGACCTATCCATTGGGGGGCACTATTGAGATCATTGAGCATAGTGCTTAGGTCCTCCAGCGATTATACCATAAGGACTATATCGTCGGTAAATAGGAGGTGAGTGATGTACTCGCCATTGATGAAACGTCTTCCAATGCAGCGGTGAAGAGTTTCGGGGATATACGGTCACCCTGTCGTACACCCCTCTGCAGTTGGATAGGTTTCGTACTCTGGTTCTGTACTTGAATAGCCATCGTAGTCCTACTGTACAAACACTTCAGCACTTCGATATACCGACAGTCAACTTGGGACCGCTGAAGGGACTTCAGCACCGCCCAAATTTTAAAGAGTGAGGAGATACGACATAGGGATCTTTTTAGCGGTAAACGCGCAAACTTGGGTCTTCTGAGGATTAAACTGGACTAGATATAGTCGCCCCCAATCCGAGACTTTGTTCAGCAAAGACTCGGATTCAGACACAAAGTTGTTCCAGTACCCGTGACGTTTTCCCGAGAAATATTGGCACGGCCGGTGTATAGAGCATCACAAGTACTTTCGTCCGCATAGCAACGAATGCTACCGCTTCGCAACATATCATTGATATGCAGATGAAACAGCGTTGATTATAGCACATCCCGGGACGTTGATGCGTCAGTCCAGGCCCGGTAGCACTCCTGTTTGTAGCGTGATGCTATTTTACAGGAGCGACTAAGCTAAGGCTAAGATCTGCCTCTGATGGGCACCACCGAGGAATGAATAAAAGGTTCCATACCCTGAAGTATCACATCAGCAACAGAATTAGCAAGAACGTTGGGATCATGTGGCGAAAAGCAAACCCCACCCCAAGGGTAGTATGCAAAGAAAGACCGCATCCCACCTCAATCGGCCGAACTATAGTGCCAAACACGGCGACAGCCTGCAGAAAGCAACCACGATTACAGCGTGAGTGGCACCACACTCCGGAGTAGACAATGGTCCGAGGAGCCAAAAGGGGCGTCGACGGAGACCTGATATCTGTCCAGATGAGAGGTCAACAGAAGGTCCAACAGGGAAGTTGCATGATCCTCCACATCTGGAATCTGCGAGTGGCGATGTAAGAATACCCACTGCCCCATATCGTCCCGTGGTTGATGTAAGAGACGACAGAGGGAAACTAAAACAGAAGATGAGTAAAGCTGTAGCAAACCGTATGTATTCGGTACTGAGTAACGGGTGCGCCATCTAGTACCGAGTAACGAAACGTTACACATGAATTTCTTTCGTTACTCGCATTTTTCGTAGTATGGGTACCTACACTGTTTCAGTTCACGCAAGTACCGATGATACGTGATGCGTGTATTGTAACATTTGCTGATCGTATGTTTTACGCATGCGCACACTTATTCGGTGAATTTAAAAACGTATGTTACAAAAACATCGCTGTTTGTTTATTAGGTAAAGTATAATTTGGAAATACGTCGTCCAAGTTTTTACTGCTTATTGAAGGTATTGTGTCTGTAAACGAAGTTTTAGATTGGAACAGAAAGAAGGTAAGAAAGTATTTTTTTACAAATTAGAAATATGTATGCTTTTGTTTTTGATTATCGCGTATTTTCACGTTTTTTGTTTGTTCTTATCTTAATAGAGATATTATAATAAAGCCGCTCTAATGGGATTTAATTGTTTCTTGGTTAACAGAAGCTGTTAATTATCAAATATTGTTAATTGTTCGTTCATTTTCGTCATTTACGACAAAATAGTAAATCCATTGCAAATTTAGTAGATTCCGTCAACAGTTAACTTGTAGTTTTACACTTTACCTATTAAATTAAACTAAATTTAGAATAACTTAAACCCAAGTCTGGTTCAAAATACGCCGAGAGGTCATACTGCACGCGTACGCAATACGACTCAATTCGATGCTCTAACATAACAGCATGTTGTGAGTTATCAGAAGTAACGAGTAACGTAACGATACGATAGTAACGAGTACTAATTGTTAAAGTAACGAGTACATACGGGTACGCTTTTTTCGTTACTTTTACACCTCTAGAGATGAGCATCTATGAGATGACATCTTCCCGATAACAACTAAAAATAAAACCTGCGGTTGCCGACCCGCCGGCCAGGCGTGGTAACTATGGCAAATTCCACCCTATGAAGCTATTTGTCGAGGAGGCTTATGTTTAGCAGTGGACTTTTATAGGCTGTAATGAAATGGAAGATATGTATCTGTAAGAAATAGCGCTCGTGTCATTCAATGTTGATGAACGCGTTTAACTTAGATTTTAGTTCTTATCTCCAGTTTTTAACAACTGCATCTCTATTTGCAGAACTTAATATTTGCGTGCATTGATTTCTTATTGATTTTAGCACAAGTCAACATGTTTAAATTACGTTGCAGATTTATTTTTGAATTATTCTCATTTTATATTTTATTCGTTTTTCGATATTTACAGATAGAAAACCTTAAAGTGATATATGTATATTATGTTAATTTTGTGACTTGTAAATTGTAAATTTAAGTGTAGTTGTTTTATATATGTATGTGTGCGTACTAGGGCGTTGGTGACAGCAATCATAGTATGTACACAAATAATAAATATAATATAATACTATGGATGCCTTTCATTGGGATACTTGACGCCATTAAGTAAAAAGAAGCACAGTTTTTTCTTTTTATATTTTTATACCAGGGAATTCACTAGCAACGATATTAACATGTCAACCCATCATAAGTCCTCAGTTCAATGTAGGCATTTTCCAAAAATCATAAAGGACAAACTTGACGTCGAATAAAAATAAAATGTGTTAATAACAAATCGTAAAGTATGTTTTTTCATATTTTTATAAATATAATATACTTTTGTTCTGATATCAAAAAGTTATGGTCATTAACTTTTACGATAACACTTTAGCGACTGTTATTAAATCCAATAACCAGCGACCACGTCTCAGTAAATAAATAAACTCCCAACTAACGATCAATTTGAACGCAATAGTATAATTGAAATGTAATATTAACAACATGAAACCAGGCAAAGCAAAACGTTTACGAAATAAGAGCAGTGAAATAAATATGAGTCACATTTTAACGAATTTTTTCACAGTTATATTATTTTTGGTATTTGTTTCGGCATTTTATCTCGTAGTATCGTTTAAACCTCTCTCAAAGGAAGAACAGATTGAAAGAATCGACAAAATGAACAGCGAGGTGGAACCATTCAGGAAAAACTTGACGGAATGCGCTCGACAAGTAAAAGCTTCTATGGTGGACGTCGAAAATTTCTTAAAAAGAATACCGCAATCAACAATGCAGGGTAAATGCTTTGTCGCTTGCATCCTAAAGCGAAATGCAATTATAAAAAACAATAAAATCACACAAGAAACCCTTTTAGAAGCTAATAGAGCTGTTTATGGAGATGACAGTGAAGTAATGAATCGATTAAAATCAGCAATCGCTGAATGCAATAATGTCGTTGAAGGTATTTTTGAAATATGTGAGTATGCATCTGTGTTTAATGACTGCATGCATATAAAAATGGAACATATTTTGGATAAAGTAACTATGGAGAGACGGATGGAAGCATTAGGTCAAATGACATCAAATCCCGACGAATGGACTGACGAAGAAGATGAAATTTTGAAGTTGGTAAAGGATGAACTTTAGTGTTTCTTCGTTGATTCCAATAATTTTACGTGAACTCGACTGCATTATTTTATTAAATAAAGCGTATTTTTATGACGTAAGCGTTATTTATTTATCTATCTCCTATCTATCTTTATTCAGTAATTTAATTTGTTGGTGTAATGTAAATTTGGCGTTAAATTCACTGTCGGTTCAAAAAGTATATATAAAAAATATCAAATACCTGAAAAGAGAAGAATCGGTAGGGACCTCTGTAATTTACTTTTTTAAATTGACTTAATAAAGGTAACCTATTCAATGATCATCATTCATCATTACAGCCCTTCACAAGTCCACTGCTGAACATAGGCCTCCCCCAAAGAATGCCACAAAGCACGGTCCTGAGCCACCTGCATCCATCGACTTCCTGCATGTCTTACCAGGTCGTCACTCCATCTCGTGGGGGGACGCCCCACACTTCGCCTACCGGTACGAGGCTGCCACTCGAGAACCTTTCTTCCCCATCGGTTGTCGGTTCTTCGAGCTACATGGCCGGCCCACTGCCACTTCAGCTTACTAATCCGTTGGGCTATATCGGTTACTCTGGTTCTGCTGCGGATATCCTCATTCCTAAGTTTATCACGCAGAGAAACTCCGAGCATAGCCCTCTCCATAGCTCGCTGAGCGACCTTGAGCTTCCTCATACGGCCAGCAGTGAAGGACCACGTCTCAGTTCCATAAGTCATCACTGGCAACACGCACTGGTTGTACAATTTCGTTTTCAGGTTTTGAGGTATGTCTGACGAGAAGATGTGTCGTAGCTTCCCGAACGCTGCCCAGCCGAGTTGAATCCGTCGATTGACCTCTCGATCGAAGTTGGACTTACCTAGTCGGACTATTTGTCCCAGGTAAACATACTCGTCAACAACTTCGAGCTTAGTGCTCCCAACAACTACCGGCATAGGTGTGACATGGACATTGAACATGATCTTTGTTTTGTCCATGTTCATCTTAAGACCTATCCGTTGGGAAACACTATCGAGGTCATTGAGCATAGTGCTTAGGTCCTCCAGCGATTCTGCCATAAGGACTATATCGTCGGCAAATCGAAGGTGAGTGATGTACTCGCCATTGATGTTGATACCGTATCCTTTCCAGTCCAGAAGCTTGAAAACGTCTTCCAATGCAGCGGTGAAGAGTTTCGGGGATATGACGTCACCCTTACACCTCTCTGCAATTGGATAGGTTTCGTACTCTGGTTCTGTACTCGGATAGCCATCGCAGCCCTACTGTACAAGCACTTCAACACTTCGATATACCGACAGTCAACTTGGCACCGCTGAAGGGACTGCAGCACCGCCCAAATTTCGACGGAATCAAAGGCTTTCTCATAGTCCACATACGCCAGACATAGTGGCAAATTGTACTCTTCGGACTTCTGTACAATTTGCCGAAGGGTATGTATGTGGTCTATGGTGCTAAAGCCCTTTCGGAAACCGGCTTGTTCGGGAGGCTGGAAGTCGTCAAGTCTGCGCGCGAGACGATTCGTAATGACTCTCGAAAACAGAACGTAGACGCGGCTCAGAAGGGAAATCGGTCTGTAGTTCTTCAAGAGAGCGTTGTCACCTTTCTTGAAGAACAAGACCACCGCACTTCTGCTCCACGCCTCCGGTGTAATGCCACCATGGAGGACGGAATTAAAGAGCTTCTGAAGGACTTCAAGTACCGGTCTTCCACCCGCTTTCAGAAGCTCCGCTGTAATTCCATCCTCGCCTGGGGCCTTACCGTTTTTAAGGTGCTGGAGAGCCATTCTAATCTCGCTCAGACTGACGTCCGGGATAATATTCAATGATAAACTATATAAATACAGTTAAAAAGGTTACAACAACACTGTTGTGTGTAATTTTTTTAACTCAATATACACACTAGACCGAACCGTTGTTGTATACTTTTTTGCATAAAAACGGGTACCTAAGCCAATAATAAATTTTATTGTTACTATTAGATTGTTTGACTCAGAATTTTGTAAATAAATTACCAAATAATAGTTTATAAAAATAGTTTTCGTTAGTTTTATCAAACTTTTTCATTAAATTAATGAGAAATAATGTTAAAGTTCGAAGCGCTAGTAGTGTAAAAGGCGTTTCATATTTACTTGGTGTACCTGCTCATCAAGTAAAAATGAAACACCTTTTTTGTTTGTTTTTTATTTAATGAAGCAAATGCTTATAAAAAGTTTAGTGTGAAGTGTGAACCTTGTATTATATTGTGGGTAGATTAATATTGTGTGTCGATACTCAATTACCTTACTGCGGGACCTCTATATCAGAGGTCCGTATCACCAACAAGGAGGTTCTTAAAACCTTACGAAGTCTAGACGTGAGCAAAGCTAGTGGATGTGATGGTATACCAGCTAAGAGTTCTAAAGATCTGAACACCTGAGTTGTCTCCTGTGTTGACGTGCTTGTTTTGCCTCTCATTCAGGACTAGAATAGTGCCCAAATCTTGGAAGCTGGCCAATGTGCAGCCTGTGCGTAAAAAAGGTAGCCGTACCGACACTGCCAACTATCGGCCAATTTCAATTACCTCTATACTCTGCAAGGCTACGGAGCGTATATTGGATACCCGCTTAATGGCATACTTAAAACAGAATGACCTCCTTAGTAACCAGCAATACGGGTTTTATCGAAATCGATCAGGTGGGGATCTTCTAGTGTATACCACACACGTATGGGGCGAGGCACTCAACAACAGTAGGGAAGCACTAGCTGTACCCTTTGATGTCTCCAAGGCCTTTGACAGAGTTTGGCACGCTAACCTTTTGGGTAAGCTTCCAGCGTACGGCTTATCCCCTGGTCTAATTAAATGGATAAAGGACTTTCTGAGTGAAAGTTCTCTCCGGGTCGTAGTTGATGTGTGTGTTCGTTGTTGTTCGTGTCCGGTGGTTCTCAGGAGTCCGTTCTCTCTGTAACTCTCTACCTGCTGCATATTAATGATCTGCATATACCCAGTATCTATGTATGCAGACGATAGCACAATTTTGGAGAGACACCAACCCGTACGTACCTAAAAAAGTACGTAAAAGTACCCGGGCCAGTCGGGATCAAATCCAGTCCGAAAGAGAAGCTATGGTAGAGCGTATGAATCTCACACTACAGGGAGTCTCCGAAAGGGGGGATGCCAATCTCGTGAGATTCAACGCCTCCAAAACACAAGCATGTCTTTTCACCGCTAAAAGGAGCCCGCTCACTCTAGCTCCTACTTTCCGAAATGTACCCTTAGAATACACTGACCGCATTCACTTGTTAGGGGTTCAATTTTCTCCAAACCTCAACTATGGGTAGTTCATTGAGTGCAGAGCCAAAGCAGTCGCAAGGAAACTTGGTTTCCTTGTAAGGGTGTGACGGTACTTCATGCCGCGGTAGCTTCTTACCTTATATAAAGCGCAAGTCCGGTCGTGCATGGAGTGCTGCGGTCACATATGGGCTGGTGCTGAAAAATGCCACCTGGCAGCGTTGGACTCAGTAGAAAGACGTGCTAAGAGGCTCATTGGTGACCTTGATTTTGAAAATGAACATTAAAAAGCTGTTGTTTTTGGTTCTCAGCTAAATTACTGTCACCAAAAGCCGCGAAGCGTTCTTTGTATGCCTTTTTTTTTTTGCGGATGGAAAATCATCAAATGACGCCTTTCGCTCTGGGTGGAGCGGAAGGGAGTGTCAGACTTTTACTGACTAAAAACCATCCGTGTTCCTTCAGTGCCCTTACGTTCCGGAGCCGCGGTATCTCTTTCGAACAGCCCGCAGCCCCGGCAGGCGTCGGCCCTTGCGGGCCCCTTCACGCTGCTGACAGCTCTTTGAGGCGCGCGCGTGGGACAAAACGCGCCGTCGACACGGCCTGTCGTCGTTAGACGGACGGACGGCGAGCTACCCATTGCTCGCCGTCCACAGGCCCGCTCCTACGGTGGCCGGGGGCTACGACGTAGCCCCCGACGCCCGGGGCGTCTCCCGCGGCGGCCGGGAAGGAAAGCTGCTGCTCTCTCCTTCTCCCACTCCGCCACCTCCTTCGCTAGCATCACTGCTTCACAGAAGGTGGTGACGGCATCCCATTCCGTCTCGCTCCGGACCATGGCTTCGACCAGGGCCGGACGCGAGAGGTCGCCGCCGCCTATCGCCGCTACGAGGACACGGCGGTGCTCCGCCCAGGCAGGGCACACCTCTACGGTGTGCTCCACCGTGTCCTCCGGTCGATCCTCGCAGTGGGAGCACCCGGGCGTTTCCTCCCGCCCGATTCGGTGCAGGAACCTCCCGAACACACCGTGTCCGGTGAGGACCTGCGTCAGGCGGAAGGTGAGGACGCCGTGGCGTCTCTCAAGCCACTCCTCAAAGAGGGGTCTTATCGCCGCTATAGTGGCGTGCCCAGCACGGGGTTGCGACAGTCGCTCTCTCCATGTCGCCATGAGATCATGCCGGAAGTCTGTCCGCTGCACGACAACTTGCCGCGGCAGCGGGGTTTCCCCCCAGCATAGTGCCTCCGCGCGCCATTCGTGCAGGCGCGCGAGGACTATCGCCTCCAGATCCCACGGCGGCAATCCGGCAAGGAGGCACGCTGCCTCGCGGGAGATCGTGCGATAGCCGCGAACCATTCTCACGGCAGCCACCTTTTGGGGCGCGTTCAGGTGGTGGACGGCAAGCCGCGCCAAACCACGTGCCCACACCGGGGCCCCGTAAAAGGCCATGGACCGCACAATCCCCGCGTAGAGCCTCCGGCAGGAGGCGTTTGGCCCCCCCAGGTTCGGCAGGAGCCGTCTGGATATCCCTCCTACCATCGCTGAGGATCCCGGTGGTGGCCTGTTCCGAGGACCATGGAAGTGCATGGCCTCGGACTTGTGCAGAGTTACCTCAAGACCCAGCTGCCGGATCCTCTCAACGACTATCGCAACCCCGCGTGTCATAGTTTCCGCCGCCGCCTCGTACGACCCCCCCTGTGCCAGTACCAGCGTGTCGTCAGCGTAGCAAACTACGCTGACGCCGGTAGGGAGGTCG